TATGGGTGTATGGTTATGGGTATATGGTTATGGCTGTATGGTTATAAACCTAGTACTTTTGATCATGGATGTTGGTTTCTTTCTGCCAATCAGTACTTGGTTTCTATAAGCATGACGTCATTTTGTGCAGTCGTTTGTTCTCAGGTAACTATGCACATCTTACCGTTTTAACAGTCTTTTGTGCATTGCTGCCCTTGATGAAGTCTATTTGATATCCATCTAGTTGGCTGTGAGACACAGGCTTTTCCCAGTGGACTCGAAAGGAGAACAAACTGGTATCGGAGAATGAAACTTGGTCTGCTTTTAGATTTTGAACTTTGATTTTATCTTCCAATATCCCTATAGAGTCAAACAGCCAATCAACATGAATCAGTCACGTGAATCAGCGAACACGACATAGCGTTTTGGTATCTATAGCGCATGCGTGAATAGCTTGCCGTATGTTACCGCTGACACGATTAGTTGTTCCAGGTGATCTATTGTTCTACTCCGAGTGTTCGTGCATTCAAGGGCTCACCCACCCCAGCCAGACTAACACTCAGGGTCTTTAAATCCCTTGAGATAAACTGCTGCGCAGGCGCGTAGCGACGTCTCAGTTATAGGGGGGAATGTACCATTTTCCGAGCAAATCCAAAGGAATGAGTAAATTAAATTTTGGTGCCTAAAGCAAACCTGGGGGGTGGGATTAAAATAACTATATTACAAATATTGATCTGCGTACAAACCTGGTGTTTGGAAAATGATTTCTCGGACAACTCCTTCAGCATTAGGGAATCTAGGCCTGATCTACGAACAAATAGATGTAAACTATGTGTAGTACGACTTTAAGGAACAGCTCGACTGACTCATGCATCACAAATTTTAGCCTATTCTGCCATGTCCTGAAATGTCCGGCCCTGCCTTCTCCTCTTAGACCCTGCTTTACCCACGCCTGTTTTGCCCAGCCGTACACTCTGCTGCTCTACCTTATTATCGTCACTGTTCGTTCTGATAGATCTTTAATCTATCCAAATATCGGTTTATATTAATGTCAGTTAACTTACCTCGAACCGAACCGTTATGTTTGGCTCTAGATTTGTTGCTTTCAAAAATGTATTCTTCTAAATTAAAAAAGAAAAAAAAAACAACACTCAAACAATGATCAACCCACCCATTTTCCTTGTAATCACTCGTCTTGGCTCCCAATAAAGGACTTCAGGAATAAGAATAAGAATAAATGAGAAAAAGGCTGCACCGTTTTCCATCTCTTCAGCCACTACCCCTCCCCCCGCTGGCCCTCTTGGGCGTCGTCATACACATGCTTAGTGCATAGCCCTTACCGTAGATCCCCTCTTAGCAATCCAAATGATTCCCATAAACTTTTTATTGACGTCACCATAGGCAAAGATATATCTCTCGACCTTGCCAAACGAGAAGGTAGGAGGAGACCACGTGACCTTAGTGCTAAACCGGAAGTCGTTTGAGTAGGTGAATGGTGAATAGGCTAGACTAACGACTTGTCTGGCACTATCAGGAGTCGGTGGTGGGTCGACTGTGAAGAGATGAATTGTTTAACTCTTTATTAGTAGGTACGTTAGGTGATGCACACTAGGGGGAGGGGAGTGGAAGACTTAGGACTTCTGTAGCTACTAAGATACTTCTTAGCGACGACGTGATCTTTACCGAATAGACCCCTTGCATGTGACGTCAAAGCAACTCGATCTGCGAGACAAAACAAGCGAATTCCAGTCTCCTGAGAATTGGAACCTATTGTTTTATCCCCCATATATATAAGAGCCCTTAACTCTGCTCCACTCCTATCTCTACCGTCCCTGGTGAAGTGGGCCTCAGGAGACTATGTATGTTCACATGTTTTTTATACTCACTAATACGACTTTTTATAACGAGTAGAAAACACAAAGTACGTTTACAGTAAAGAAAAAAGATCTTATTCATTGTGGTGCAATGTTTTCCCATTTTAGACCACGTGTCATTTTCTTGAGAATGAGATTCATTATTTGAGTTATATTCATATTCATGTGTCTTCGCAATCGTCAAACAAAAAATAACACTCTAGGGAATGACACGTGGTCTGTAGGGAAAACAGCATGTGGTATGTAAGGAAAATAGCACGTGGTCTGTAGGGGAAATGGCACGTGGTCTGTAGGGAAAATGGCACGTG